TGTCGGCACGGGTCACCAATGTCGGCACGGGTCACCACTGTCGGCACGGGACACCACGGGTCACCACTGTCTGCACGGGACACCACTGTCGGCACGGGTCACCACTGTCTGCACGGGACACCACTGTCGGCACGGGACACCACTGTCTGCACGGGTCACCACGGCTCACCACTGTCTGCACGGGTCACCACGGGTTACCACTGTCGGCACGGGTCACCACGGGTCACCACTGTCGGCACGGGTCACCACGGGACACCACTGTCGGCACGGGACACCACTGTCTGCACGGGTCACCACGGGTCACCACTGTCGGCACGGGACACCACTGTCGGCACGGGTCACCACGGGTCACCACTGCCGGCACGGGTCACCACGGGTCACCACTGTCGGCACGGGTAACCACTGTCGGCACGGGACACCACTGTCGGCACGGGTCACCACTGTCGGCATGGGTCACCACTGTCGGCACGGGTCACCACTGTCGGCACGGGACACCACTGTCGGCACGGGTAACCACTGTCGGCACGGGACACCACTGTCGGCACGGGACACCACTGTCGGCACGGGTCACCACTGTCGGCACGGGTCACCACTGTCGGTACGGGTCACCACTGTCGGCACGGGACACCACTGTCGGCACGGGTCACCACTGTCGGCACGGGTCACCACTGTCGGCACGGGTCACCACTGTCGGCACGGGTCACCACGAGTCACCACTGTCGGCACGGGTCACCCCTGTCGGCACGGGTCACCACTGTCGGCACGGGTCACCACTGTCGGCACGGGTCACCACTGTCGGCACGGGACACCACTGTCGGCACGGGACACCACTGTCGGCACGGGACACCACTGTCGGCACGGGACACCACTGTCGGCACGGGTCACCACTGTCGGCACGGGTCACCACTGTCGGCACGGGTCACCACTGTCGGCACGGGTCACCACTGTCGGCACGGGACACCACTGTCGGCACGGGACACCACTGTCGGCACGGGACACCACTGTCGGCACGGGACACCACTGTCGGCACGGGACACCACTGTCGGCACGGGACACCACTGTCGGCACGGGACACCACTGTCGGCACGGGACACCACTGTCGGCACGGGACACCACTGTCGGCACGGGTCACCAATGTCGGCACGGGTCACCACGGGTCACCGCTGTCTGCACGGGTCACCACTGTCTGCACGGGTCACCACTGTCGGCACGGGTCACCACAGTCGGCATGGGTCACCACGGGTCACCACTGTCGGCACGGGACACCACTGTCTGCACGGGTCACCACTGTCGGCACGGGTCACCACTGTCGGCACGGGTCACCACTGTCGGCACGGGTCACCACGGGTCACCACTGTCGGCACGGGTCACCACGGGTCACCACTGTCGGCACGGGACACCACTGTCGGCACGGGTCACCACGGGTCACCACTGTCGGCACGGGTCACCACTGTCGGCACGGGACACCACTGTCGGCACGGGTCACCACGGGTCACCACTGTCGGCACGGGACACCACTGTCGGCACGGGTCACCACTGTCGGCACGGGTCACCACTGTCGGCACGGGTCACCACTGTCGGCACGGGTCACCACTGTCGGCACGGGACACCACTGTCGGCACGGGTCACCACTGTCGGCACGGGACACCACTGTCGGCACGGGACACCACTGTCGGCACGGGACACCACTGTCGGCACGGGTCACCACTGTCGGCACGGGTCACCACTGTCGGCACGGGTCACCACTGTCGGCACGGGTCACCACTGTCGGCACGGGTCACCACTGTCGGCACGGGTCACCACTGTCGGCACGGGTCACCACTGTCTGCACGGGACACCGCTCACGGCACGGGTCACCACTGTCTGCACGGGACAGCACTGTCGGCACGGGTCACCACTGTCTGCACGGGACACCACTGTCTGCACGGGTCACCACTGTCGGCACGGGTCACCACTGTCGGCACGGGTCACCACTGTCGGCACGGGTCACCACGGGTCACCACTGTCGGCACGGGTCACCACGGGTCACCACTGTCGGCACGGGACACCACTGTCGGCACGGGTCACCACGGGTCACCACTGTCGGCACGGGTCACCACTGTCGGCACGGGACACCACTGTCGGCACGGGTCACCACGGGTCACCACTGTCGGCACGGGACACCACTGTCGGCACGGGTCACCACTGTCGGCACGGGTCACCACTGTCGGCACGGGTCACCACTGTCGGCACGGGACACCACTGTCGGCACGGGACACCACTGTCGGCACGGGTCACCACTGTCGGCACGGGTCACCACTGTCGGCACGGGACACCACTGTCGGCACGGGACACCACTGTCTGCACGGGACACCACTGTCGGCACGGGTCACCACTGTCGGCACGGGTCACCACTGTCGGCACGGGTCACCACTGTCGGCACGGGTCACCACTGTCGGCACGGGTCACCACTGTCGGCACGGGTCACCACTGTCGGCACGGGACACCACTGTCTGCACGGGACACCGCTCACGGCACGGGTCACCACTGTCTGCACGGGACAGCACTGTCGGCACGGGTCACCACTGTCTGCACGGGTCACCACTGTCTGCACGGGTCACCACTGTCTGCACGGGACACCACTGTCGGCACGGGTCGGCACGGGTCACCACGGGTCACCACTGTCGGCACGGGTCACCACTGTCGGCACGGGACACCACTGTCTGCACGGGACACCACTGTCGGCACGGGTCACCACTGTCTGCACGGGACACCACTGTCGGCACGGGTCACCACTGTCTGCACGGGACACCACTGTCGGCACGGGTCACCACTGTCTGCACGGGTCACCACTGTCTGCACGGGACACCACTGTCGGCACGGGTCACCACGGGTCACCACTGTCGGCACGGGACACCACTGTCTGCACGGGACACCACTGTCGGCACGGGTCACCACTGTCGGCACGGGACACCACTGTCGGCACGGGTCACCACTGTCTGCACGGGACACCACTGTCGGCACGGGTCACCACTGTCGGCACGGGACACCACTGTCGGCACGGGTCACCACGGGTCACCACTGTCTGCACGGGACACCACTGTCGGCACGGGTCACCACTGTCGGCACGGGTCACCACTGTCGGCACGGGTCACCACTGTCGGCACGGGTCACCACTGTCGGCACGGGTCACCAATGTCGGCACGGGTCACCACTGTCGGCACGGGTCACCACTGTCGGCACGGGTCACCACTGTCGGCACGGGACACCACGGGTCACCACTGTCTGCACGGGACACCACGGGTCACCACTGTCTGCACGGGACACCACTGTCGGCAAGGGACACCACTGTCTGCACGGGTCACCACGGCTCACCACTGTCTGCACGGGACACCACTGTCGGCACGGGTCACCACGGGTTACCACTGTCGGCACGGGTCACCACGGGTCACCACTGTCGGCACGGGTCACCACGGGACACCACTGTCGGCACGGGACACCACTGTCTGCACGGGTCACCACGGGTCACCACTGTCGGCACGGGACACCACTGTCGGCACGGGTCACCACGGGTCACCACTGTCGGCACGGGTCACCACTGTCGGCACGGGACACCACTGTCGGCACGGGTCACCACTGTCGGCACGGGTCACCACTGTCGGCACGGGTCACCACTGTCGGCACGGGTCACCACTGTCGGCACGGGACACCACTGTCGGCACGGGTCACCACTGTCGGCACGGGTCACCACTGTCGGCACGGGTCACCACTGTCGGCACGGGTCACCACTGTCGGCACGGGACACCACTGTCGGCACGGGACACCACTGTCGGCACGGGACACCACTGTCGGCACGGGACACCACTGTCGGCACGGGACACCACTGTCGGCACGGGACACCACTGTCGGCACGGGACACCACTGTCGGCACGGGACACCACTGTCGGCACGGGACACCACTGTCGGCACGGGACACCACTGTCGGCACGGGTCACCACTGTCGGCACGGGTCACCACTGTCGGCACGGGACACCACTGTCGGCACGGGACACCACTGTCGGCACGGGACACCACTGTCGGCACGGGACACCACTGTCGGCACGGGACACCACTGTCGGCACGGGACACCACTGTCGGCACGGGACACCACTGTCGGCACGGGACACCACTGTCGGCACGGGACACCACTGTCGGCACGGGACACCACTGTCGGCACGGGACACCACTGTCGGCACGGGACACCACTGTCGGCACGGGACACCACTGTCGGCACGGGTCACCACTGTCGGCACGGGTCACTACGGGTCACCACTGTCTGCACGGGTCACCACTGTCTGCACGGGTCACCACTGTCTGCACGGGTCACCACTGTCGGCACGGGTCACCACAGTCGGCACGGGTCACCACTGTCGGCACGGGACACCACTGTCGGCACGGGTCACCACTGTCGGCACGGGACACCACTGTCTGCACGGGTCACCACTGTCGGCACGGGTCACCACTGTCGGCACGGGTCACCACTGTCGGCATGGGTCACCACTGTCGGCACGGGACACCACTGTCTGCACGGGTCACCACTGTCGGCACGGGTCACCACTGTCGGCACGGGTCACCACTGTCGGCACGGGTCACCACTGCCTGCACGGGACACCACTGTCGGCACGGGTCACCACTGCCTGCACGGGACACCACTGTCGGCACGGGACACCACTGTCGGCACGGGATACCACTGTTGGCACGGGTCACCACTGCCTGCACGGGACACCACTGTCGGCACGGGTCACCACTGCCTGCACGGGACACCACTGTCTGCACGGGACACCACTGTCTGCACGGGACACCACTGTCTGCACGGGACACCACTGTCGGCACGGGACACCACTGTCGGCACGGGTCACCACTGTCGGCACGGGATACCACTGTCGGCACGGGATACCACTGTCGGCACGGGTCACCACTGTCGGCACGGGTCACCACTGCCTGCACGGGACACCACTGTCGGCACGGGTCACCACTATTACCTCAGGGCAGCAACACCACACAAGGCGTGAGCACAACACAGTGACGGAGGAGCGACGTGTCCCCCACCACGGCTGGCCACCAACTGAGGCGTCACTGTACCTTACCACATACTCACCACGTTTGAATATAACGGCCCGTACCCCGAGTCACTTTATCTCCACTAAACACTCCGCAGATAGCCTCTTAAGATAGTTCCTAAGGTAAACTACTTAAGATGTGACGTTATTAACCCCGGGGCAAAAGGATAATTACATATAAACACCTGTAAACAGCTGTAACAACACCTGTCAACAACTTCAAGGTCGCCGCCAAAGCATAGTTGTCTGATGCGCGATGATATCTGCTAACTTTTAATTAATAATAATAATTATTATAGTATCTTCCGAAGCCTTGTATTACTTGATTTTTTCTATTCCATTTATTTTAAAGGGGATATTTTATTATTCTGATAAGAATAATTTTACATTTCGTTCTTCAACAGAAAAATTGAATAAATAATATAAAGAAACTTTCGTACCTCATCCCCAGGTTATTATCAATTGAATAATTACATAATATTTATTGTTTCAAATATTTAAACAAATATAAATGTAACAATTGATAATGATCTTATAATTACAATGACGGTTTTTATGAACATGATCTTGAATAAATAGAAAGAATTGTCTGTTATGTATTAACATGCATGCACTCCTGTACCCCCGGATACATGCACTCCTGTACCCCCCTGGATACATGCACTCCTGTACCCCCCGGATATATGCACCCCTGTACCCCCCGGATATATGCACTCCTGTACCCCCTGGATACATGCACCACTGTACCCCCCGGATATATGCACTCCTGTACCCCCCGGATATATGCACTCCTGTACCCCCTGGATACATGCACTCCTGTACCCCCCTGGATACATGCACTCCTGTACCCCCTGGAAACATGCACTCATGTACCCCCTGGATACATGCACTCCTGTACCCCCTGGAAACATGCACTCATGTACCCCCTGGATACATGCACTCCTGTACCCCCTGGATACATTAACTCCTGTACCCCCTGAATACATGCACGCCTGTACCCCCTGGATACATGCACTCCTGTATCCCCTGGATACATGCACTCCTGTACCCCCTGGATACATGCACTCCTGTACCCCCTGGATACATGCACTCCTGTACCCCTGGATACATGCACTCCTGTACCCCCTGGATACATGCACTCCTGTACCCCCTGGATACATGCACTCCTGTACCCCCTGGATACATGCACTCCTGTACCCCCTGGATACATGCACTCCTGTACCCCCTGGATACATGCACTCCTGTACCCCCTGGATACATGCACTCCTTAACCCCCTGGATACATGCACTCCTGTACCCCCTGGATACATGCACTCCTGTACCCCCTGGATACATTAACTCCTGTACCCCCTGAATACATGCACGCCTGTACCCTCTGGATACATGCACTCCAGTACCCCCTGGATACATGCACTCCTGTACCCTCCGGATACATGCACTCCTGTACCCCTTGGATACATGCACTCCTGTAACCCCCTGGATGCATACACTCCTGTATCCTCTGGATACATTAACTCCTGTACCCCTGGATACATGCACTCCTGTACCCTCTGGATACATGCACTCCAGTACCCCCTGGATACATGCACTCCTGTACCCCCCGGATACATGAACTCCTGTACCCCCTGGATACATGCACTCCTGTATCCCCTGGATACATGCACTCCTGTAACCCCTGGATACATGCACTCCTCTATCCCCTGGATACATGCACTCCTGTACCCCCTGGATACATGCACTCCTGTATCCCATGGATATATGCACTCCTGTACCCCCTGGATACATGCACTCCGGTACCCCCTGGATAAATGCACTCCTGTATCCCATGGATACATGCACTCCTGTACCCCCTGGATACATGCACTCCTGTATCCCCTGGATACATGCACTCCTGTACCCCCTGGATACATTAACTCCTGTACCCCCTGAATACATGCACGCCTGTACCCTCTGGATACATGCACTCTAGTACCCCCTGGATACATGCACTCCTGTACCCTCCGGATACATGCACTCCTGTACCCCTTGGATACATGCACTCCTGTACCCCTGGATACATGCACTCCTGTACCCCCCTGGATGCATACGCTCCTGTACCCTCTGGATACATTAACTCCTGTACCCCCTGGATACATGCACTCCTGTACCCTCTGGATACATGCACTCCAGTACCCCCTGGATACATGCACTCCAGTACCCCTTGATACATGCACTCCAGTACCTCCTGGATACATGCACTCCAGTACCCCCTGGATACATGCACTCCAGTACCCCCTGGATACATGCACTCCTGTACCCCACGGATACATGCACTCCAGTACCTCCTGGATACATGCACTCATGTACCCCATGGATACATGCACTCATGTACCCCTGCATACATGCACTCCTGTACCCCTGGATATATGCACTCCTGTACCCTCTGGATACATGCACACTTGTACCGCCGGATACATGCACTCCTGTACCCCCCGGATACATGCTCTCCTGTACCCCCCGGATACATGCACTCCTGTAACCCCCGGATACATGCACTCCTTTGCCCCACGGATACATGCACTCCTGTACCCCCGGATACATGCTCTCCTGTACCCTCCGGATACATGCACTCCTGTAACCCCCGGATACATGCACTCCTGTACCCCCCGGATACATGCTCTCCTGTATCCCCGGATACATGCTCTCCTGTACCCCCCGGATACATGCACTCCTGTACCCCCCCGGATACATGCTCTCCTGTACCCCCCGGATACATGCACTCCTGTAACCCCCGGATACATGCACTCCTGTGCCCCACGGATACATGCACTCCTGTACCCCTCGGATACATGCTCTCCTGTACCCCCCGGATACATGCTCTCCTGTACCCCCGGATACATGCTCTCCTGTACCCCGGGATACATGCACTCCCGTACCCCCGGATACATGCTCTCCTGTACCCCCCGGATACATGCACTCCTGTATCCCCCGGATACATGCACTCCTGTACCCCCCGGATATATGCACTCCTGTACCCCCCGGATACATGCTCTCCTGAACCCCCCGGATACATTTTCTCCTGTACCCCCCGGGATACATGCTCTCTTGTACCCCCGGATACATGCTCACTTGTACCCCCCGGATACATGCTCTCTTGTACCCCCGGATACATGCTCTCTTGTACTCCCCGGATACATGCTCTCTTGTACCCCCTGGATACATGCTCTCTTGTACTCCCCGGATACATGCTCTCTTGTACTCCCCGGATACATGCTCTCTTGTACCCCCCGATACATGCTCTCTTGTGCTCCCCGGATACATGCTCTCTTGTACTCCCCGGATACATGCTCTCTTGTACTCCCCGGATACATGCTCTCTTTTACTCCCCGGATGCATGCTCTCTTGTACTCCCCGGATACATGCTCTCTTGTACTCCCCGGATACATGCTCTCTTGTACTCCCCGGATGCATGCTCTCTTCTACTCCCCGGATACATGCACTCTTGTACTCCCCGGATACATGCACTCTTGTACTCCCCGGATACATGCACTCTTGTACTCCCTGGATACATGCACTCTTGTACTCCCCGGATACATGCTCTCTTGTACTCCCCGGATACATGCTCTCTTGTACTCCCCGGATACATGCTCTCTTGTACTCCCCGGATGCATGCTCTCTTGTACTCCCCGGATACATGCACTCTTGTACTCCCCGGATACATGCTCTCTTGTACTCCCCGGATACATGCACTCTTGTGCTCCCCGGATACATGCACTCTTGTACTCCCCGGATACATGCTCTCTTGTACTCCCCGGATACATGCACTCTTGTGCTCCCCGGATACATGCACTCTTGTACTCCCCGGATACATGCTCTCTTGTACTCCCCGGATACATGCACTCTTGTGCTCCCCGGATACATGGTCTCTTGTACTCCCCGGATACATGCACTCTTGTACTCCCCGGATACATGCTCTCTTGTACTCCCCGGATACATGCACTCTTGTGCTCCCCGGATACATGCTCTCTTGTACTCCCCGGATACATGCTCTCTTGTACTCCCCGGATACATGCTCTCTTGTACTCCCCGGATACATGCTCTCTTGTACTCCCCGGATACATGCTCTCTTGTACTCCCCGGATACATGCACTCTTGTGCTCCCCGGATACATGCTCTCTTGTACTCCCCGGATACATGCTCTCTTGTACTCCCCGGATACATGCTCTCTTGTACTCCCCGGATACATGCTCTCTTGTACTCCCCGGATACATGCTCTCTTGTACCCCGGATACATGCTCTCTTGTACTCCCCGGATACATGCTCTCTTGTACTCCCCGGATACATGCTCTCTTGTACTCCCCGGATACATGCTCTCTTGTACCCCCCGGATACATGCTCTCTTGTACCCCCCGGATACATGCTCTCTTGTACTCCCCGGATACATGCTCTCTTGTACTCCCCGGATACATGCTCTCTTGTACTCCCCGGATACATGCTCTCTTGTACTCCCCGGATACATGCTCTCTTGTACCCCCGGATACATGCCCTTGGATACATGCTCTCTTGTACTCCCCGGATACATGCTCTCTTGTACTCCCCGGATACATGCACTCTTGTACTCCCCGGATACATGCTCTCTTGTACTCCCCGGATACATGCTCTCTTGAACTCCCCGGATACATGCTCTCCTGTACTCCCCGGATACATGCTCTCTTGTACTCCCCGGATACATGCTCTCTTGTACTCCCCGGATACATGCTCTCTTGTACTCCCCGGATACATGCTCTCTTGTACTCCCCGGATACATGCTCTCTTGTACTCCCCGGATACATGCTCTCTTGTACTCCCCGGATACATGCTCTCTTGTACTCCCCGGATACATGCTCTCTTGTGATACATGCTCTCTTGTACTCCCCGGATACATGCACTCTTGTACTCCCCGGATACATGCACTCTTGTACTCCCCGGATACATGCACTCTTGTACTCCCCGGATACATGCTCTCTTGTACTCCCCGGATACATGCTCTCTTGTACTCC